TGAATGAGAAATTGAGCTGCAGCAATAGTTAAAGCGAAATATATATAAATCGAAGTAAAACTTATACAAGCTGGTTAGTTTATATATACATATCCAAGTATATCTGTATCTACATATATATGTCTGTTGTTGTAGAAAGTGACGTCACATGCCTAAGCTTAGCCCAGTGATGAGCTTGCAGTGAATTGCATTTAACTACTGTCAATATCCGTTGGCAATGCATTCAAGCGGCAATAAAAAAACTAGATGTTTATAATATTGAAGCCCCCCCTAGAGACATCAACAGCAAAGAGAAACACGTAAAAGAACATTGCACAACTGACTGCATAATACTCGCTTACGTTTCAGATTTAGATATATACATATATGAAGAGTTGTAGAACTAGAGAATACAATTCATATATAATAATAATACATAAATATATATAAACTTAACATTTTGATATCTATATCCTACTCACGAATCTATATTTCGTCATCCAATGTACTATTGCCATAAATAAACGAGATTATTTTATAAGAAAAATGGTAATCCCAGCTTTGACACGCCCCCAATGGGCATATACAAATAATTATATTAGCAACAGCAAATTTCAAACCTTAACCAATATACTCTAATCAACTTATGAACGGGTATAAAAACTAACAGAATGCAACAAATGGAGTATTTTTTTTTGAATGATTCTCGCTTGGCTAAGCGCCCGCCCGATCTGCTTCCGCTATGTGCAAAAGCTTCAGGCAGCTAACAAAACAAAAACCAAAACAAAAGCAAAACAAAACGAAACGCAACGAAACAAGAAAAAAGAATAATAACTGTGCCATGTTGGGGTTAAGTGCAAACGTCATAAACGGGACAGAATCGCAGTTGGTTGGAGTTGGAGCCGTTGGAGTCGCTCCATTTCTCTCTGCTGTTCTCTCGATCCCTGTCAGTTGCTGCCCTTTAACTGTAAATTGCTGTGTGTACATAGTTTAGTTAACTCTCAAAAGCAACGCATAAAGCAACATAGCAACAACAACAACAGCAGCAAAAGTGATTCATGCGCAGCCAGCAACATCAACAACAACAACAACGAACACAACAACTAGAACTTGTTTATTACACAGCTCAGCTCCAAGCTAAAGCAATTCCAGCTGTTGAACGTGAAGCAAGCGTGTTGCTTGTGTGTAGCTCAGCGCTTGGAGCTCAGAGCTTGAAGCTTGAAGCATTGGTCAAGCCACTCCACTGGGAGCTTCTAAAAATGCTTTCCCAATTATCTGCACAAAATAATGCCCATGGCCACGCCCCATTTATTGAGGCGCTGCTGCGGTTGCCATCGACTTTCCAATTGATAATCAACCAAACAACTGGCTCCACACAATTTGGCTCTCTGCTGATTGTATGGCCCGCTTTGATTCCCACTCCGAACTGTTGCCCTGCATTCGAGCCATATATAGCCATTTGATATAGCTTGCTCACAGCTGATGCTCAGACCTATAGACCCAATTTGGTTTGGTCAACATGCTTATCGTGCTCCATTTCTCCAGCTGATAACAGGCGGTATTTTGTTAGAATTTCCTTTAAATATCATTTTGATTAGCCTTATCACCGCATTGTGCATAGGTGTGCAAATATTCCGAGTCAGATGGCACAGCAATGTATTGAAACATTGGCGCCATGAAACGAGAATTAACTACAAATTACAAGCAGCGATAAGGTCGAGGCATTACTTAGCAAGGGCATTCGTGTACACCAGGTGATTGCGATTGTAATTCCGATTCTGATTGTGATTGTGATTGCAAGCAAATTTAATTAAAACAATATTTACATATATGTAAGTAAATTAAATATTGAAAATATATATTTAATGAAGAACCTCGGTTACAGCCACAGTTTTGATAGCATGAATCTGAAGGTAAAGAAATCTATTTTCAGGCAAATATTAAAATCAAAAGCCAACAATCAGTAAACATAATAGCAATTAATAAGAACTTAATGATTGCAAATAGAATTATCGAATCAATTTGCTGTTGGATTATAATTTATTCTAAGATCTCATTTACTCATGTATATGTTATACAAATCTGCATGCTCTAATCAACAAAGCTGGCTGGAAACAGAAGTAATTTGAGTCAGGTTTTATATAATATTCGTAATTGTCGGACAATTTTACAGCAACTTGAGGCAGCTGCTGCAAAGTAATATGATTCTGAACACAATCGATAACTGTCAAATCTAGTAAATATATATGCATATATATCAAGAAACACAGCCGAGTCGAACAGAGAGGCCAATTACTGCTCGCTAGGCACCATTACATGAGGCCGTTGCATAGACAGAGACCCACATATCGCTTGCAGGTGGGCGCTGTGCAATTCATGGCTGGCATGAATAAGTAGCTAGCATATATATACATATATATATATATATCTATACATCGTTTCATGCTGTACCCCCACATACTAGCAGAAATGTTTACATTCGACATGCTGTACTTGCGGCTGCCGATGGCAATGACCTATGCGAGGCATTAAAACGAGCAACATAGATATTTTACTTTCAGGCTGATGACCATAAATAGCCAGCAAACTTTTTGGGGCGGTTAACAATAATAAAAACAACAAATAACAATAACAACAACATTAATGTGTGCCGCAATTTGTTTTTGGTTCAATAAACTTGCCAGCCGACCACAAAGAGAAATTATTATGAAATTTACATTTAAAAATCTAACTAGAAATGCGCCCAAAACAAAATGGCGGCCTACCACCAAAATAGTTTCGCATAATCAAATATAGCGCGGAAAATTGTACAATTAAATGTGAATAACAACAACAATATAGAAGAAGAAACCACAGGAAATGTTAGAAAGCAAAGCAAACAGCACAAAGAGAGCAACAATAAAATACACACACACACTCGCACACACACATGTTAACAACATATGTATATTGAAAATAGTGCAAATATCTCTTGGATTTGGACGTTAGCGTCGACGGCGCCAAAGCAAGAACCAACAACTGAACCAACAACAGAACCACAAAAGCAGCCCCAGCCCAGCCGCCTATTCCCACCCTCTCACCTTCCCCTTAGCCGAACCTAGCCGCATGCAATCGCAAGCTGCGCCGCTTTTCACGCTAATATTAGCAGCAAATAGCAGTGATAACTGTTTAGCAGACAAAGTGCACCGGCACGACTAGCTTATACCCTGTACAATATACAAGAATTTAAATTTTAAAATATACAAATTATGATGGGCTGACACAACAGATACTTACTCTATAAATACTGAGAGTTTTTCATTAATACAAAAGCAATTATCTTAAAAATATAGAAGTGATAATTGGTAGCTGGACAACCAATGGGCAGTCACAACTATCACATACCCTGTAAATCAATCTACGCACTTTAAAAGTTTGTTAGTTAAAATATCAAAGTGATTTGCTTTTAACATAACATTAAGTAGACAAGCAAAGGGCTGATATAATTAACAAATGCCCTATCAACTGTGTTAAATATCATTATAATAAACAGTTAAAACAATTATTATAATACAATGCTACGCTTATTCTATATATTTTTAAAAATCTATTTTTGCTAAGATTTATTAAATACATAATGCATACAATATACCCTGCCTTTCCATTTAGAGGGTATTCAACATTGAGGAACTCAACACGGCATTTGAAATTTTCACTTGTGAGGAAAGTTTTTGATTCATTTTCAAATGCCATTTGCATTTGTTTATTGTTTCGCAGAGCGAGTGGCATAAATAAATATAATTTTCATTTGCCCACTAAATTTTTTCTAATTTTTGCGCCCAAGGCTTTCTGGCGGTGTACTAAATCGATTAAAATGCCATCAAATCGAATTGAAATTGAAACTTTCGTTGATGGCAGTGAGTAATTAAAAATAGTATTTGTCATTTGTTGTGCTTGGCTGTGGCCAGTTTCGATTTCGCAGCAAATAGATATTTATTTTCGTTCGACGTATTATTGGCCCAATAAACTTTGCACCTCGAGATTTTGGCTAGCGGCCAACAAAGAGCGACGAGCAATTGTCTAATTGAAATCGGCAGCTGAAAGCCCACAAAAGGCCAGGGCAGCAGGCAGTCGCATACAGATTGATAACAGTCAAATGTCAGCAGCTAGTGCAGCTGCCGTTCAGAAAGCACTCAGTCAACTGTGACGTTTATCAGTTGCAGCGGGTCAAACTGTGAAATCGACACCGAACTGCATGAACATTTCGCCAGAGGCAAGCCAAACTAGAAATGACCTTGCTTAACGCTTTGCATAGCTTATATAACTGGTTAGATATACGTATCTAGACATATGAACAATTGCAATCTATTATTTATAAAGTGTGAATCAATAAAGTGCTGCCTCGCCTAAGTATGGTAAATATAAATTTGTATACTATAGATCTAACAATAGCGGAAGGCTAATTGGTCGAATTGACAGTGTTTTTGTAATTTTTATACCCTTGAATCTAATGAAAATGAGTCCTGACACGGGATCACAACGGTCGACTAGTCGATTCATTTGCATCTGTATAACTTTCTCATACTTCCTAAACAAATAGATATTTTGTCTATGTTTGTTACCTATAATTTGAAGACAATGACAACTTGTGAATGGGTTCTGGTTTCAAATATTTGTATATATAAATATTTAATTATTAAAATTAATATTTTGATATCTCAAAAATATCATTGTTGTTAAACTATTTACGATTCTCATCAATTTCTAAACTATTCTCCAACACAATTATTATTATTTAGCATTAGACATGAGAAAACGAGAGACAGTGAGACAGACTTGTAAAGATGGGAAGTAATATATATATTTATATATATAAGTTATAAAAATGTTTGTAATACCAATTTTTGTTTATAAAAACGAATCTAAAATGAAAAAAAAATCAGTTAATCTCTAGACAAAGTTATTTTTAGTTCCCTCGACTCACACATGAATGTCGAAAATAATAATTAATCAAAAATCAACACGCAACCAGTTAAACTCACCTTAAATTGCCAAATTTATGGCCAACAACATTTGTGGCAGTTAAAAATAAAAAATAATAGAAGAAACTCCAAATTTGTTATCTATAATTTCGTGTCGTTTACTGAAAACATAAAAATAAAAATTCATATTTAAACATTTTTAATCACATGTAGCTAAAAAGTAATATAATATGAGCAAGTAAGTAATTTTAGACTGCTATATTACATAGTAATAATACAATATTTATTTTAACAGTACATATCTATATATATTAGATTATAATAATTTATTATAATTTATTAAAATTTAGTATTCTCTTTAAATATCTCCACTTCTTTCTTGCCTTCTCTCTATCTCATATTCTATTCTTTCATTATAGGTTCGGTATTCTTTCTTCTTTTCCCGTATTATTTGATTTCTGTACTTCATTGATTCACGTCTCTAGTTTTTCTTTCTGTTCTGTTTTTCTCGCTTCTCTTCTCTTCTCTTCTCTTCTCTACTTTTCTCTTCTCTACTTTTCTCTACTCTACTTTTCTCTTCTCTACTCTACTCTACTATACTCTACTCTACTCTACTCTACTCTACTCTACTCTACTCTGCTCTACTCTACTCTTCTCTACTCTACTCTCCCCTACTCTAGTCTCCCCTACTCTAGTCTCCCCTACGCAATTCTCCCCTACTCTTCCCTACTCTACTCTCCCATACTCTTTCCAACTCCTCTCTCTCTACTCTGCTCTTCTCTGTTTTCTCCATCTCTGAAATCTATTGCATAAATGCCAAAAATCATAAAAATTAGAGAACATCTCACAGTCGAGCATATTTCTGCTGAGATATACTCAGCATGCTTTTACCTGATGCCACATTTCGTGTGTTTGTCAAGGTCTCGTATTAGTTGAAGTACGTCATATCGCGAGGTTCTATCTGTTGTTTATAATTAGCGCATGTGATTCATATGCCCAAAAGCAAAAAAAAAATTGCTTATAAACAAAACGATTCCTAGAAGATTCCGGCGGAAATTGTACGGATGTCCAATTCCAAATGACATGCACTCAGAAAATTCTATTTATAAACACTTTTCAAACTTTTCAAAGTTTCCATATGGCATAGACTTATAGTTAAATGTGTATGTATGCCTTCTATCGAACATAACGACCTGTCAACACCTCAAATTGGAAATTTTTAGTATTTGTTTTGATAGGCCTTCACTTGACATCCGAATTGGCAATGCAATGTGCAAAAACAACATAGAACAAAGCGTTGCAATCATGAAATTGACAGCACCCACACGCTAGAGATACAAATCTATTATGGCAATAAATCACAAACTGTTTTGTCAATAACTTTAAACTATTGCCAGGCGATGGGGCAAATGCAATTGGCAAAGTGTTTGCCCCTGAGCATTTTATAGGTCTAGTCTAGCCATGAACTTTAAATGGTAATTGATGTGAGCAAGGCAAATCAATAAAGTCATTAATGTGATAAAGTAGTAATGGAAAGGCACAGAAGATCGATCAGAAATATAGTCTAAGAATAACTCGTTTTGCATTCCATTCAATTGAAACTATTTTTATGTAGCTAGATTTCATTCTAAATTAAGTAAGCAAGACGACAACTTTTCAATTTGATAGTTGCTGCTGATGATTTCTAAATTGAAATTTGTTCATCCTCCATACTTAAGTTCTAGGCAGTAATGTGAAAAATTGTTCAGCTAATCCCAGTTAAGTGTAACCTACATTTGATAACCCGTAAGTTCTCTAAGCACATTAGCTTTGGCAACACTTTCCACTGAGCCCTTACGTTTGCACGTTTCATCGAACCGAGCCCCAGACTCGAGCCCAGAAGCTGTCGAAGCATAAACAACAACAAAAATTAAACAAAAACTTAATCATATTTACAGCACAGAGCGAACAGAACTAGGCAAGTGAACAGAGCTAAATGAGTGAATGAGTAGCTCTAGCTGAGTGTGAGTGCTTGTGTGAATGCTTACGAGTACCTGTCTGTGAGTGAGTGAGTGTATTGGTGGAATAGCTGTGCGAGCGTCTACGCCTGGCTGATTTGCATGCTTTGCTCGCTTTGGCGGCAAACCTGATCAAATTTTCATAACAAACTGGAAAACTGGGCTCGAATTAAAGGCCAGGCGCTGCTAACGTGAACAGCGAATGTTTTTTTTCCGCTTAAATTTTGCAATGGGAAAATTGTGGAAATTCAATTGGAAACAAAAGAGCAGCCAGCCAGGGGTCATGGTCATTACTGTCACCTGCTGTCAACTGGGGACTTGAGTATTTTCTTTTTAATTAATAATACCCTCACCTCCCCTGTGGGCGCTGTTTCCCCTTGTATTGGCCAACTAGCTGACCACCACAAAAACGAACAGCGAAAAATATGACATGGAAAATGGCCATTTGCTGATGTCAGCTTTTTGATAAAAGTTGTGTGAAAGTGTTTGACGAGCGTGGACGAAAGACGGCAGCCAATTGACGCCTTCACTTGTCCCAATGCTAAGGCGATAAAAATGTGATTAATAATGAATGAAAAGGCACACACTCACACACACACACACACATGCACAGCGTCACGTGAAAGGCGAAAGAAATCGAATAGGCATCTAAAGGCCTTCAAAAATTGAACTCTATGTAATGAGCGACTGAGCGATAAGCAATTTTTTGCGGTTTCATTTGGCAGCTCATAAAAAAAGGCAAAAAAAAAAGAAAAGAAACGAAAAAACTTCAACAGTCGCTGACAGCTGCGGCAACGATCAATATGAACAGCTAAAAGTTTATCCAATTGCTTAGACTTTTATTGCATTAGAATTCGTTCAGTATATCAATTACGCATGCGCACGCTTTTGACTTGTGTTTACTTTAAGGGAGGAGTTCGTATGGAGCTGCTGCTCACATTTCCGACACATTTAGCGCTTCTGTAGCTGTATGAGAAGCCACTCGATTTTCAAGTGCTTCACGGACTTATCTTGTCCGTCGGGAATTGAGAGAGTGTTGAGTAAAATAAAGTCCTACAGGGTTCGAAGATATTTGAACTTCAATATGGTGTTGAGTTAAGTGTTATCTGACTGTTTTTATGTCTACTACATATGTTTATCTATCTGCTTTTTTAATCTTAATACTTTTTAAATATTTTCTTATGTCATTCCATATTCTACTCAACTATATAGATTTGTATCAAATGTCTCCCTTTGTCCATTTTCTTATCTCTCAATCCATATATCTATCTATATATCTACCAATCTCCCTCGTCAACTCTATATATACCAATCTATCTTTCTATTTTTTTCTCTGTTTCTCTCTATATTTTTCTGTCTTTCTCTATCTCCTACTCTCTCCTCTTTCATTCATGTCTTGCTCTCTTTTCTCTCATTCGCTATCTTTTTCTTTCTTCTCTCTTTCTTTTCATTAAGTTCTGTGTCTAATTCTTTTTGTCTGTCTCTATTTATAACTTTCCATCAGTCGTCTACTGTCTCTTTCTCCCCTATCTATCAATCTTCCAGCTTCTATTGTCAATTATCTGTCGCCGTCTTTATCTAAACATTATCTTACGCACTTTATCTACAAATTTATCTACATACTTAGTTTTCTCTCACCTGTATTCTATATACCCAATTAATTATTGTTATCTATGTCTTTTTTTTACATTTCATCAAATTCATCGCATAATTAAAATAGCAACAAATATTTCTTGAGCACCCCTAACTCAGCTATAAATCGATAGTTCAAAGCATTCTACGAGTCTCTGATTTGTTTATCGTCAGGCATTTTAAGTGATCTCTGTGTTAAAAACCAGTTCGACTGCGAGTTCTGATCAGTAATTAGCCAATTCATTAACGCTCTAAGCCGCTGGAAGGCCGAAGACTTTGGGAAACAAAAGGAATTCCGAATTGGAATTGTTAATTACAATTGTGTCAGCAGCTATTTCGAAAATTTGGCTTTTCTTTATTGCGAAGGCTTTCAATTATCTTATCAATGGACAAAGCCTTTCGACCGTGGAAATGCAAGGTAAAAAGAAAGGAAAGCAAAAACTTTTAGCAAGAAAAATAAGTTTTTCCTCTTTATTTCAACAGAAGAAAACGGACGGAATTGAGCTGTGTTGAGTTGCCTGTGTCCTCCTCGTCTTTGCCACACAGTTGAAAGTGGCAAGGAAAGCTACTTATCTTCACGCTCTGCCTGCCGGTCTGCCCATCTGTCTCTCTGGCTGTCAGCCACTGCAACTGCAACCGACTGCGACAACAACTTACATCGTCAGAGTGCAAAAAAACGTCACATCGCATCGCAGTTACTATATACAAAATATATACTATATAGCAGTATATACTATATATGTAGTATCTGTGGAGTATCTCTTAGACCCTCGTACTTAGTTATTGTTATCAGACGTGACGAGTTGCTGTCCTGAGTCGCAGCATGCATAATGCAGTGGCTTGTCTTCTTCTTGTCATTTAGTTGTCACACTTAACAATTGCAATTGTTGTTGCTGTTGCTGTTGCTGTTGCTGTTGCCCAAGTTCATCAACCGATGAATCGTCTAGGCAATTAAATACAAATTATGTAAAGATAGAGATTTTGCGTATACATATATATTTTATCTGTTGCCATTTACATTTCAAACTAAAAGAGGTCTCTTTTTATGCCCTGGGAAACTTGAATTCAAGAAGAAGGCATGGCCGAACCAATAAAGCATTTATACTCCTGATTAGAATGAGTGTAAAGCGTCCTAGAATCGAGTTGGTTCAACATTTTTGAATAAACTTTCTCACATTGATAATAAAAATGATATCTTATCTTACAGTTATCTCTTACCTATAAGCGAAAGTCACCGAAATCCCTACATATAGATTATCTAAAAATGTAAACAGATAGCGCGTAATATAATTTTGAATACCTTTCCAAATTCTCATATATTCGATGAATTGCAATAATATTCGTGACCCTAGATGTGGCTATATATAGATATATATAATAGCACACTTAACTATCTTTTATCTCAAGTTTGATTATCTTTGAGTTTCACTTGGCTTTGTTTGGTTCATTGCCAAAGTTCGTTCAAAGTTCTCAAGTGGTTCAAGCACATTGAATTAAACATCTATATAATATTATAGATGCATGTTATATTTGAATATATAAATATGTACAGATATTTGGCAGCTTTGCGGCTTTATTTCGAACAATGAATTGAAATTTTCATATTTTTTACACCCCAAATGATGTCATATTCCATATATTCAATAGTTTCTGTTCTCAATTGAAATTGCTCCAGTTTCTGACGCTTACTGTTATTGTTTTTCAATGTCTTTTATCTTTGAGTTTGTTGAGCTTTTGCCAAAACCCATTTCCGACTTGGGCTTGGATTCCCATTTGGGAGCTGGGAGTTGCCCTCTTCCAATTGTTGTTGAGTTTTGTGCTTGCACATTTGACTGCAGTTTGCTTATCGACTCAGTTTGACTGCAGTTTGCTTATCGACTCAGGGTTTTCATCTTTTTGCATTGTATTTTTCTCGTTTTTCCTTGAATTCTTTTTTGTTTTGTTTTGCTTTTTTTCTTTTGCCCTGGATTTACATTTGTTGCGTTCTGCTGTTTTACGCTAATGGCAGTCGTGAATGACATTTATGTTTATGGTCTAGTTTTTCTGTTTCGCAGCTCTTCAGAGTAAACACACACACACGTGCATACGCATATTTTTTCCTTCTATATACATGTGGAAAATCTCTTTGTGAAAGTTATAAAGGAACATTTCTAGGTTGAACTATATGAGGGCTTTATGCAAAATTTAGTTGTCAAGCGCAAATGAAAAGTTTACAAACAATAAACACAACTTTCATATCAAATAAGTATTTGTTTTTAAAAGAAAAAATTTAAAATAAATATCTTTGAGTACAGCACTTGAATTGTATTTGTTAAGAATAATAACAAAGAGAAGCCTAAACGTCAGCCGCCACTGACTGCATAATACTCGTTCAGATTCTGCTATTTCATTTAATATAGAAACCTGAGGTCTATATATATTCGTAGAAAATATCATTTTTTAAGTCTCTCGCATACAACTAATATACACTTCTCACTTGATAATATTTAAGTCCTAAGACTAGATTGACTAAATATTTTCAAATGTAGACTACCAAAAAACTTAATAATTAAACTAACTGTGAATATTCTACTCAAACTGTTGAAATGTTAATGAATTTGAATATAACGCGTTAGAGAAAAACCCAAATTATTCTTAAAAATAGAGTTAGGCGCAATATCTAAGCTAGTATTAAAGCTGTTCCGTTCAAGTGATAAGGAGAAAAGTTAAGAGCTTTTATCAAATGTGAAACTATGCAAAACTTCGTCTAATGCAAATGAACATCCGATCAAAACAGTTAGATTACAAAAGTTAATAAAAATTACATTTTGTACAGATAACAAAAAACTTACCTCTAAATTGTAATTTAAATTGAATAACAGTTGAATTAATGCAATTGCTCTATTGCGATAGAAGAAATAATAAATTAAACACAGGATTTAAACAGTACAAACGATTCGAAATAAAATTTAGGAATGGACCGAAACTGAAACACGCGTAAAAATAGAAATGGAAATGGAAAGCGGCCGGCGAAGGCGGCGAAGAAGACAGACAACAGAGCTGACGACTGAGTTTTACGGTTAATTTAACAAATAGGCGAATATATGCGAGCATCCGACTATGTGTGTGTTTGTCTGTGTGTATATATGCGTGTGCAAGCAGGATGCGCGTGGAGAGGCAGACATCGACAGCTGAGCGGCCGCTGAGTGTGTAACATATGAATCATCTGGCTTGCGCCTTTTGACGAAAGATATAAAGATAAAGCAAAATGCGACCGCATACACCCACGCAAATACACACAGATGCACAGACAAACATTCACACGCACACATTGCCGAACACGATTTTACATATTATTTATATATGCGTTTATTTAGAATTCCAGACACGCGGTTCAATAGTAAAATATTTATATTCTTTATGCAGTCACGGCAAAGCTCTTTGCGCTGCGCTGCGATGGCGCTCGTTTCACGGCGGCGACAAATTCTGCTTTGCAGGCGGCAGTGGCAGCGGAGACGAAGCCAGCGGCAGCGGCACACGCGTTGGTCTTTTTACTGTTGGTCAGCAGAAGACAGATGCGGCCAAAGTATTTCATTGCACTCGTATAAATACACGCAGACGCGTCACGTTTGTGTCTGCATTCATTACATTATATAACCAAGCATGTGCACTTTATTTAGATCTAATTAGATTTTTCACTTCTGCTCCGATTCACTTACACTTGTTTTGGTTTAAAAACTAGCGTCAAAAACGCGTCTGCTACAATCAATGGTTTTTTTTCGACTGCACTGGCGTTGTCTGTGGTGTGACCAACAGTGTCGGTAGCTAAAATGACAATATTTTTCTAATGAAAATACTAAGCTAAGTTATCGATAAGCCGATACCAAATATTTACGATATTAGTATCAACATAATGAACTAAGTATCGATACTAATGGTCAATGTAGCCAACAGTCGCTAAACATTGATTGATTGCTTGCTGTAAAAGTTACGGCAAGCAAAAGCATGCCTTAACTATTCTAATTTATTATAAGCCCCAATATAATAATAGTTCTAAATATGAAGTTTAACTTAGTTTTTTCCAACATAACTCTTATATTTAGTTGATTTGGTATTTTTAAAAGAGGATAAACACACGAATATACACCCACACACACACGGATATCGACAGTATTTTAATAAGCATATGTTTGTCTCGTTCTTATTAAAATCAGCTGCTGTTTGCAAGAAAAGTGGATTAAGTGTAGACAAACTAAAATATTAATAAAAAAAAAAACAAAACAAATTACTGTTAAACATAACAAATGACAAATGAGTGCGATAATACGAGACCATATTGGTCCGACGAGGTGATTATTTTTGTTATTACAACGATTCGCAATACACCTTACATGTGGGACAAGACGCATAAAGATTATAGTATACGGTACCTGAAGCACAACTTCTGGAAAAACTTGAGATGGACTCTGGAGAAAAGATACAAATTTCGAGCCTATACAAATGAGCTGGCTAGAAAATGGCTAAATCTGGCATCTTACTACCGTCTGCAGCAAAAGGCAATTTTCGATGCAAATGCTCGAGGAGCACAGCCGGAGGAAATAAAGCGTCTGGAAGGCTGGAAATTCTTCCAGCAGCTCAAATTTCTACCTTTCGTGGTATACGATAAGAACAGTGTGGATGTAAGTTTTTTGAAATATAACAGTTATATCTGATTCAAAATATTATAAACTCTACCACTAGGCGGAAAATCTTTATGATAGCGCCAACACAAACGACTCGGATAATGTTAGTTCTGGTGTGGTTGAAGAAAGGCAAACGACTATCGATCAGAATGCCGATTCCGAAAGTCCCACGCAATCGACCGCCGAACGCATTCCACAATTCCAAGATTCCATGGAAAATACAAAACAACTTGGAATTGAAGAGTTGAATGTGCCAATGGAGGATAATGATGCCGAAGTCGAAGAGACAACACCTATAGCTATAGAGCCTGTAATAGATGATGTACAAAGTACGCCGAGCTTTCATTATGGCATGGCGATTGCCCAGGATGTTTTCGAACTTGACGAAAACTTAAAGATCGATGCAAAAATGGAAATTATGCAAGTAATTGTTAAATACCAGAAGAAGCAACTACACCGGACAGTAATGAATCTTGCCGGTAGCTAAGCTAAATATATATAAGTATTTATAGTAACAATGTACAATTGATTTGTATTTTAAATCTAGGCTTAAATATAAACACTCCACCACAGGGTGACTTGTGTTTTGGTATTTTATGAGCTTAATACAATGGCTGGTATACTGCTTATGCCGTACAACGTTCAGGATTTTACGCTTTCAGGTGTACAGCCACATTACTTAAAAAATTTCTGGAAAGGTTTGTAAGCGTTTCAGCAACAAATTGTAATAAACAAAAAAATAAAATAAATAAACAAAAATTTTTACTTAAATTCATTTTTAGTAAGTTTCTAAAGTGCGCTTATTACGCGCAGTCACGTTAAACATGTTGCGTATCTAGATATTTTTGGATACATATATATACGTTTTAAATATGGCGTCATATCAAAATGGCGATTCCTTTTTCGCACTGCTCCAACTAATAGCCAAATGCATGTCTTTTGCAGAACGTAAATCTAAACTTTTATAAGCGAAATGACTGGACGCGGTAAAGGTGGTAAGGGATTGGGCAAAGGAGGTGCCAAGCGCCATCGTAAGGTGTTGCGAGATAACATCCAGGGTATTACCAAGCCGGCTATCAGGCGTCTGGCCCGTCGTGGTGGAGTCAAGCGTATTTCTGGCTTGATCTACGAGGAGACACGCGGTGTGCTCAAGGTAATGAATTTTTCGCTTTGGCAATTTACAAACATTCTAACATCGAATACTTTCAATAGGTGTTTCTGGAAAACGTCATTCGTGATGCGGTCACTTACACCGAGCACGCCAAGCGCAAGACCGTAACAGCCATGGATGTTGTCTACGCCTTGAAGCGCCAGGGACGCACCCTATACGGCTTTGGCGGTTAAATGCTGAAGCAGCAGCCAAGAAGTGGAAAGAGACGAATGACGCATCAATTGAAAGGAATTGGAACTAATCGATATACATATTTATACATGATATAAATGCAGCATACATATTTAATCCTCAATCAACTTATACTCGAGTATTTGAGCAAATTTAAACAGTAGCAAAACTACAAAATGTATTGACTAACTAAATATTATTCCATTATAACATTCTATAGTAGCGGAAACAAAACAAAACAAAATCAAAAGGCCAATAAATCATTTGAGGAAGGCGCAAATACTGATTTATTAACAATTTCAATTGGGGGCTAAATGAGAGTTTGTTAGCGCGTTCTTGCCGCCGCTTTGCAGTGAATTCAATTCATTAGCTTGATCTACTCTCTTCTGCTAATAACAAAATTGCGTAAATCGTGGTGTTTGGCATCAGTGTTTTTTTTGTTTTCTAAATTACTCAATTAACGGCAGAATAGATTAATCTCAATATGCATGTCTATCTGTAATAATCTAATGATCGCAACAATACGTGCAATATACCAATATCTACAAGCGCGACAATGGATCACAGGCGTAACTGAAAATTTGATCCTATGCTCTTGAGTGTTTCCCTAGGGGTTCCGTTGGGTGTCTGCCTTATGGTGTCGAGCAGTTGGCGCTACTCTAAGACTGCCAGTTTTTGTTGTATGTGTCGATGCGGGATCCTAGTTGGCATTTAATGATTCTTCTCATTCTTTTTCCTCTGCATCTCCAAGTAGACGCTGCGCGGCGAAACAATCTGATCGACAGCGTCCTTATCGTCAATGAGTTCCTCCTCGTCCTCCTCGTAGTGGGTCGTGCGTCGCATGAAAACTTTCATCGGCGGCATGCCGTTACCGTTGTCATTGCCACTGTCCGACTGTGCACGTGTCGTGCTCTCCGTCTTCTCGCCCTCCGAGTCAGTGTCATTATTTGGCGATTCCTGCGAAGACTCCTCCATATTGGCCATATATGTATCCACCTGCATATAGTCGCCGCTCTTCACCTCACGTCCACTAGACGAACCATTGGACTGCTGCTTCGATTTATGGCGTTTCTTGCTCGACTTGCTATTAATCTTGCGCTCCAGCTCGGCCATGTACAGGGCCATCTGGCTGTTGCCTATGTCGCTATACTGCTTCTTGATCTTGGTAATATGCTTGCGATTATCGTTGCGTGCACAATCCCCAATGTACTCTTGCTCATATTGGCCGTTGCTGTGCGGCTTCTGCATCATATCCTGCTCCTCATAGTATTCATCTTCCTGTCCCTCGTAGCGCTGGCGCTCCATTTGCTGCTCATTCACCATGCAGCTGTCGCCAATGTCCATCTCGAACTGCACATTCGGATTGAGCTTGAACTGCAAAGTACAAATAAATTATCAATATATATTTCCAGTTTAAGTGTCATGCCTTACATCACGCTCGTTGGAAAACTCGTGATCCGACTTGGATTCACGTTTCTTACTGTTGTCCTTGGAAAATGCCTCAACATATTTAATCTCGCTGCGCACCTTGCGCACCTGCATCTGCTGACGCAACTGTGGATTGTCGATCATTGCTTGATAAGCCTGATGCTGCTCCTCATCGTCGTCGTCCTCCTCGAGCTCCTCGGGAGCCACCTCCAGCATTTGGTGGTGATGCTGCTGCTGCTGCTGTTGCTGCTGCTGCTGCTGCTTCCGTAGAGTAGCATTGGCGCTGCGTGGCGTGGAATCTGAGCTGGTGACAGCACTATTGACCAGCTGCCCGGCGTGGTTGGTCATTGGTGGCCCGTTCTTAAAGTTCCTGGAAAAGCAAGGACAGCGGCATTGAGAATACTTGGACTAAGGCTAAAAGTATTTGATAGTTACGTCTTGTTAAAGGATTGCAAATAATCATTCTTGACGAGCACATAGCCCTTGGGCAGAGCTGTGTTCTCGATCACCTTCTCCTGCTGCTGCGGCGGCGGCGGCGGCGGTGAATGCATCTGTGACGAGGCTCCTTGTCCCATCGACATCAGCTGGTGATTGAGCTTCTCATTGAGTTTCTCGGCCTTCTTGCGCAGCGTACGCTCCAAGGACAACTGCTCCTCCAGCGTCTTGGTGTGTGAGAGCAGCTGGGAGATGCTATACTTCTGGCTCTTGGGCAGGCTCTGCAGGCCATTGATGCAGCTCAGGTCGTACTTGGGCTCCTTCATCGCCTCCTCGTCCTCCTTGCCAAAATGATCGCGAATCTGACGCATCAAAAACTTACTAATCGCCGTATTATGGCGTACATTAATCTCGGTCATGGCGCTATTCAGACCGAGGCACTCGAGGATTAAGTTCGCTCCGCAATCGGTCAGGCCGCAGTTCTCCACATCAACGGCTGTTAAGGTATGGTGGATGATTCAGAGACGATTACAAATGCAGCCGCTGCTGCGCTCTTGTCTACTCACTCTTGACCCAGGCATCCTCCTTGAGCACCTCGACTATCGGGCGTAGTCCATTGTCGCCCAGGTCCGGATTGTTGGCCAGGGAGATGTAGCGTAGACCCGAGATCGAATCAACGTCCACGCTGCGATATCGCAGCGACATCTCCCACCCTTCGGAGTAACGCGTTATCTTTTGCATCTGCAAGGATTGGGTTAACCTAGCACAAATCTAACGCCAATAACATACCTTAATCATGTCAGCAACAAATTCGGCGCCCTTCGGACCAATGTTGCACTCGGAGATATTAAATGTCTCCACGTGATTCAAGTATTTGACGGTACCGCAGACCGCCTCACAGCCCTTGTCTCCAATGTAAGATTTCTGGAAGCTGACCTCCTTGAGGCAGTCATTCGAGGCCAAAGACTGTAAGCATAGGCAAACAGGTTGTAATATTTAATTAATATTTGCAATAGAGAGAAAGGGCGAGAGAGAGGGTGGCGTAACCGATCCTATAAGCTATATATACATTCAGGACACTGAGCCAAGTCTAACTAGCTTGATCTGTCTGTCCGTTCGTCAGCAAGAACTAAAGCTATATTTGTTCATCTATAGCAAAATATGTAATATCGATAAATATCGATTTGAGTGAGTTTTTCTTGGCGTTAAATAGATCGAGTTCGACCTATATAGCTTATGAAAGATGTTAAATGATCAATACCTTCACCCATTCCCTGCAAATTTTAAGTGCTAGATATAGAATGTGAAACTCGGTAAGCACATATTTATTTGCCTGGTCTTATGCTTGAGCTTTGCACATACGAATCCAAATTATTTGACAGTCTATATTGCAAGCTGATCAGGGTGTTTGTTAGTCGGGCAGTTACTTACCTTGGCAATGCACTCAATGTAGCCATCCTGCAGCGGCAGACCCTCTAGCTTCAACACGGTCAAGTTCTTGTTGAGCTTAACACAATTGGCAATCGCATCAACAAGACTGTTAAAAATAAAGCGCGTGTAGATGACCGGCTTTTGACGAAAAAGTCGTGCACGGTTTTCAGTGTCGATTGGTAAAACAATATCTATACATCATATAGGAAAGTAGTTCAAATATAGCTCTTACTCTTATTTAAATACTACTCACTATTTCCATTGGTGCGGCGCATGCGTATTGCCAGTGACTGAAGCACTAGATCATAGTGCAGTGCCTCGATGATCAGTAGCCACTCACTGACGCCCAGCTTGTCACCCAGCAAATCGAGAAGTGTGGTTGCATTTGGATTGGAGCGTATCTCTGGCACCGGTGTCAAGTTCTTAGCACGGCACAGCTCTAAATAACGAAAATGAAACGAACGGCTTTTGCTTGATTTCTTTACCACCGGGGGCAGCGCTACCACCACACTGGGTCTCTTCTTAGTATCGCGTCCACGTGCAAAAAGAGACATGTTCTAAGAAAACAGAAATTGATGTAAACCAAAATTATATTATATATTATTTTTTTCGTTTTTGTATAATAAATCAAAGTTGATCTAAAAATATCAGCATTTTATTGTCATCAAGTAGTTTAACCTTCAAAGTTATGTAAACTCAACGCACTTCCGTTTTAAATATTTTGAATTTCCAACCGTCAACTTTTCCAGCCTTCCACTGAGCTCTCCCGCATTGGCGAATTGTAAACAAACCCACCCCCCTGCCCACTTCATACACGCAATGAGCTCGCTCACTACACTGAAATTCACGCTTCGTTAATTGCTCGTGTGCCTGCACAGTGCAGCAGTAACGTTCGGCTGTTGGCGCTGTCGACGCAGACGCCGACGCTGACGCCACTTTGCTGCCGGTGACAACAACGACGACGTCGACAGCAATGTTTTAATTCCCATACAGCACAAGCCGGCAGACGCAACCGTTTGAGCCTGGCCTGCAGTCAGTCGTAGAGCGACAGTTGAGCAAAACGCTTCGACTAGCGCCGTGCAGTCTGCAATTCGAATAAACGGTAAACATTTTCGAAAGTGCAATTCGGGGTTGCTCGTGTTTTCGTGTGTGCAGCAAGGCAATAAAAAGCGAAGATCGCTTAGAACCTTTTTGTTTTCAGCACGTTCCCGTGGCGTCATGAAATGCTATTAAAGTGAAGTTTCTTGAGCAAGTTCCCTGAATGACGACGTCCCATAAAAGTTCCGCTTCGTGAATTGCCCAATTTCGTCGACACGTTTTTATTGTGTTCTATTTTGCGTGCGCGTGTGAGTATGTGTGAGGCCCGTGACATCTGCCTAATTACCAGAGACGTCGTGTGCTGTACTTAAGCCCTAGCGCAGGGTTCTTTAAAATGCGTTAACCAAATTCAAATTAGCACACAGGACACAGGGCTGTAATGTAATTAAAACAAACGTCAACTGGGTTTCGCATTGCAACGAAGGATACTTGATATTCCACACGAGAACAGAGGGTAAGTTTTGATGAGCTACTGCCCAACGCGAGGAAGTGATGTACAAATGAGAACACCGAGCAGGTATTCCTTAAGTCGAGGAAAGAAACATATATTAATTTAGACCTAGGTTGAATGCAGGATCCACCAGTTCAGCATAAGAATAAATAAAATATAGAAGTTATGCGAAGTCCATTAAGTAGTTCAACAAACGCTCATCTCTAAGCACAAGTCAAGACTTAGAGAAAGCCGATGATTAAAACCAAGGACTTACCACCTCTAGCAAAACTAATCTAAGTCGAAGTTCGAATGCGAATTCGATAGTAAAGCTTGGAAGATCACTCATAGTGTAATGGATTAGTTTTATTGAATTCCATTTTGTGCTGATATTCGAATAGTGCAATAAACGCTCTGCTGTAAACACAAAAGTAGAGGCTAGACTTACGAGAAGGTCGATTATTACAGCCAAGGACTTGCCAGCTCTAGCAAGACTAAGTAAAGTCGAAGTTCGAATGCGAATTCGAATGCGAATTCGAGCAATTAGTGAAATATGCAAATGGGGAGGCCTAGAAAAGGAGACGAAGTGTAACTGACGCATTTGTTTCGACACCGGCTTCGTCGACGTTTCAGTTAGCTACGCGTTGGCTGCCGGCATAAGCCACGATTATGCGCATTACCATGAAAGCGGTGCGGATGCGGGGCCCTCCAGCTGAACTCTTGGCTGACTCCGGGGCTATGACTCAAAAAGCAAGCTACCGCAACGAAGCTGCATACAGCTCCCAGTCCCAATGACTGTGCCCCCTACCCCTGCCCCACCAGCGCTCGCAATACGCTTTTGTTTTGTCAGCAACAACAACAAATATTGTAACAATAGTTTTTGCTGCTGGCGTTGAACTTGACTGTCAGAAGAGAGCCGCGTTTCGGAATCGATGTGCATGACAAAAAGGGCTCTAATATGGGGGAGGAAGTGTTCAAATTGGAATAGTCGAGCCATAAGCTCATTTGTTTGCTCACTCGCTCGCTCGCTCGTGCGCCGGAAACTGAAGGCAACATGGAGTACGCAGACACAGACATGGCCATAGCTGGAGATGCCAACTGCGACTTCAACTTTCAGCTTCAACGCCTCAGCATATTTTTATTAATTAAATGAAGCTGTTTTTCGTTGTGTGTGTGTGTGTGTGTGTGTGTGGTGTGTGAACAACACGGTCGCAGCAGCTTATCCCCAAAAGCCTGTCGGCGCTTGCCATGGAAAGCCGTCCGCTGTCAATTGAGCTTGAAACAACAAGCTGGAAGTTAGCCAAATTATTGTTTATTGGCATTTCCTTGGCATTCAAATTATGTTTGAAATTTTATTGTGGTTGCATGGGAAACCGCAAAATCGAAAAGATACATTTGAATCTATGGGATACACAGTTAGCGCCGTCTCGACTGGTTGTCAAAACAGAATTTCACTTTTCCTAATACGCTGATCGATGGAATTGGAGCTGCAGTTGGAGCAGTCAGAACAGGCCAAGCGTTAACAAATGGACGCCTTCTGGCCAAAAAGCCAAGCCAAGCCAAGTTTTGTCAGCTACGTTTCGCGCTGAATCGACCCAAAAACGTTGAGCCACGCAAATTTATGGTTTTTGTAAGGAAAAGCCGCGTCAACGTCGAGTCGTCATGCTATATGAACTAACTACTGCAAGACGCTGCCATTTCCTCACTTAAATAAATTTCGGGAAATACCTTTATATAAAATACATATATATTTGCGCTAAATTTGCTCTAATTCGCCAAGTTTTAAAATAATTGGCTCCATGAAAGTAATACCAAGAGTTATATCAAAGCCCCCAAATTGAGGCAATGAGTGTTAATAAAGCCGAGCTTATTGCCTACAAAACGATAGTTAAATTGGGCTAGTTACATATACCTTGATGATTAGACTCCTTAGAGGGCTTTTAGTTCGTTTTGCAACTCGAATCAAATCAATTCTTGGCAAACTTTGAAATCTTAAATATTCTAGTTAATTTTGTTTTATTGTTTTTTTTTTTACTTCGCACATTTTTAAAACTTTCTAAAATGTTTAACCGCGTCAACGGCGCATTAAAAAGAATCTGAAAAATACTTCTATAGGAATTATTTCAAGTGAAATCTAAGGCAACGAGCAAACAAATTATAAATGGCAAATTTCTAAAAAGCTGAAAGAAAAATTTGGCCAATTTTGCTAAAAGGCATATGAGAGGATATTTAAACGAAATCAAATTGTTTTTATTTGACTTGAGATCAAGGCTAACTCACGTATTAAGTTACAAGAGCTTAAGTTAAAATTTCTTATAATATATAAACAAAATTCATAGTTGAATCAGCTGAAACTGAAATTTCTTATAATATAAGAATATATAATATATAATATAATTAGCAAAATATTTGAAATATTCACAAAAGAAAATAATCTGTTTATAGGACAACTAGAATATCGACAGCTTCACATTTCATAACCCAAATAGCCAACATATTTGGCTGTTATTAGCCGCAGTCGTAATCATTGCAGCATGAAATTATAGATGTACATACTATACGTCTATACAGGCATACATCTATCATAAATCTGTGGCTGCCAGCAACCACCCGTTCGAGCCACTGACCAAACAACCCAATTGCCGTACTTTATATAAAAGCGCTAGCCATAAATATACACACACACACAAACATAATTACCTTAAGCAGCCTCTAAATACCAGTAAGGAAAATTGTTTTTGGAAAAACATTAAAAAAAAGAAAATGTTGCATGCGACGGTTGAAAGCGAAATCAGCCATTATTCCAGACGCAAATGAAATCATTTTAAATAAAATATTCGCCCCGAGACGGCTTTGACTAGCATTTGAAATTCATAAACGACCTTGTCTATGATTTTCCAACACAAGATAGATATGGCTTTCCAAGAGGTTGATGTAACACGCAATTGCTAATGAGCTGCAAATGTTGCGGCAAGAGCTTCAGCACTTATATCTCTCTGAGTATCTGTGTGTATGAGTATATGACTGTATCTGAATCTGCAGCTGTATCTGTATCTGTAGCTATATATTTGTATGCATCTGTATCTTTTAATATAAGTATACTTATTTATATCTCCATACTTTTATATATGTCTTCATATAGGCATATACATCTATAGCTTCAAATGTATCTATCTATACATCTACAGATGTATCTAAGTCTGTATCTGCAGATGTATCTATATCTATATCTGCAGATGTATCTTTAAATGCATCTATCCATATATCCAAAGTATCTATATGTCCAAATTATCTATGTCTAAAAATATATCTATATCTATACCTGCAGATACATCTTTATCTATATCTCCAAATGTATCTATATCTATACCTGCATATAAACCTTTACCTATATCTCCAAATGCATCTATAACCAGATTTATCTATGTCCACACATATGTCACCAGATTAATCTGTATCTATATCTACCCTGTGTCTGCATATTGTAATTGCATCGATATATTACAACTGGCGGGCAAAACGCTTAACTTGTTGCCCACAAATTGCTTCACAAATTATGAAATGTAATTGTGAATTCAATGAACTGCCTCAACCAGAGGCGTGGCAAGTGCTCTGCTTTAAATAAGCATAGAGCGAGTTCAACACAACTTAGACAATGGCAATGCCTGGCATTAATAAGCAAACAAACTAGCTGACAGCAACGATGCTGAGCACACGATGCTATGACAGATGGATGCATCACACAGTCGAGATACATTTTCACACGCACCACAATCCGATCAGATACAACTGCAAAAACCACACAAAGCTAAGCCAACAAGATGAGCAAATTGAAATTTGGCTAAGAAATGAAGTGAACATGCTTAACTAGCAGATACCCTGCAATATACAGAAGTTAGACCCGTACATTCATAGACCCGATCATAGATCCAACATCAATGTTTATATAGACATATCTTAAAGAAGTTATTTTATTATGCTATAGATGGGCTAAGCCGAGTGGTATCTTTAAGTCCACTTAGTCCATCC